ACTGACTGAGAATTTAAAGAAAGTATATTTTAGTCCTTTAGACCAGACAAAGAAGCAGGTCGTGACCTGGTGTCAAAGGCCATCCTTAAGAATTCTCTGACGGAGACACCACTGAAGAACAAGAAAGCAGACTACAAAACGGTGATGAAGGGTTCTCTGATGGAGACACCACTGAAGAACAACCTTTGTCTGAGAACCTTGTGACTCACACATAGGACTGAAATATCTGTGTGCTCACTTCATTTAAACACACATCACTGCAGTAAGGAGTGGAGACAGCACCTGTTGGTGAAGGTGGTGACCTCGGTGGGGTTATGTTTGAGGCTCTGACTGTATTTCTCTATGGCTTTCCGATGCTCTCCCTTCTTCACCAGAGCGTTGCCTTCTTCTTTCAGGGCCTGAGCCTTCTTCACGTCCTCGCCACTGGGAGCTGACAACACAACATTTACAGAAGAGTTACTCTGTGTTTCCCAAACCTTTTTTTGAGCCACGGCACATATATGAATCTGACAAAAAGTCTATTTAATGAAATATAATAATTTCCTAGTCTAGATGTCCCGTGATTGACTAAAATCTCGGCCCGTTTGGTTGAAGACAACGCTGATATAGGCAGGAATTGAAGAAAGACGATCTTCAACAGCTACCAGACACTTTTGGTTTTCTCTTGTTTTCTCTCTCTCTCTCTCTCTTTGTGTTAGATTCTGTTCAAACAGCTGCAGGGACTCATATACAGCTGTTATCATTATGTAAAAACAGACAGGTTGTGTGTAAGCCAGCTGTGAATTCAAATCTGTTCAAGAGTCGACACTATGAAGAGAACAACACGACTCACTGGCACTGCAGCTGGTCTGAGATCAGCTCACCTTTCTGATTGGCTGCTCTGCTGCTGGTCTGCTGATCTGTTGACTTCTGCTGAACATCGTTGGCCACACTGGTTTTCTGAGTCAGTTTCTCTCGCACCGACAGAGGGACTGTTGGGATGGGAGGAAGTTTTTCTCTCCACGAGGGGCCGTCTGCCTCTGTCAGCGCTTTGGTCATCCTAAAAAAAAAAAAAAAAATTATGTTTTATTTATGTCATATTTAATTACGTATGGACGTTTCTTCTGAACAGAATTGTTGAAAACATGCAATGTTTTAATTCAATTTAGCAGTAATGTAGCATGTGTTAGCAGCCGGAGCAGACCTTTTAAGAGAGAATCTGGTCATTTTCAAAATAAAACATCATTTAGAATCAGTTAATAAATAAATAAAAAACGGATATAACAAAAGTGCATGCATTCTTTCTGTGCGACCCGGTACCAGCTGACCTAGCTGACGAGTTGGGACCTGACGTCTTGATTTAATACCTTTGCAGCTCAAGTCATTTTTTCAAAATTTCAACTACTGTGAACTGTCACACATTTGAATTGGTTTTTAACTGATTTTTTACTACATTTTTTTCCAGGACAAAAAAAAAAAATCAAAGGTGATAATCTGACCCTCCAGATCGCTTACCTGTTGGTACCGTCGTGAGCGGCCACTATGTTGGAGTCCACCTGCAGTGCAGTCTTGTAGTCCACGTAGGCGTGCCTGTACCGCTCCAGAGCTTCGTAGGCGGAGGCACGACGCAGCAGAGACTTCACATTGAAGGGTAACAAGTCCAGCGACCTGACGAGAGACACGGTTTGTTTGCTGTTAGCAGCTGGGACTTTCCACATTCTTCACCGATTCTCCACCATAAACCTTACATGTTGCAGTCTTTGACGCACTCGGCACAGTTTCCATCCTTCAGGTAACTGGCTGCACGATTGGAGTACAAGATGGCCAGATCTTCTGGATTCTTTTTACCTTGGTAAAAAAAAAAAAAAAAAAAAAAGAAA